GGTTCACTGTACTTGCTTTCTGTTGCATTGTGTTATTACCTTTCCCCCTCTTACTCAAGGCCAGGAGTATACAGAAGATATCCATATTGCTCACCTGCCATAGGGACATAGTTGGTCTATGGGAGGTTCACTCGAACAAAACTGCAGACTCTTGCAGTTCTGGAAGGTTTCTTTGCCTAACTAAATGGTGGCATTTAGTTGAATAGTTTTCCTGTGAGTACTAATAGTAAACAAATTATATTGCCAAGATTTGGTTGCACACTAGTTAGGGATTTTGTTTACTATTATCCAAAATCAAAGGCCAGCATTATACTGCACATCATAGATACCCCTGTATTTACGTTTTTTTTCCTGAGCAGTCATAGAAACCATTTCCTTGTTTCTACCAGCACAGGACTAATGCTGTCAAACAAATAGTGGTACCATAACATTGTCCAGTAGTAGCAATACAAGTACCTGGAATACAGGAAGAGGGGAAGGACAGTCAATGGAAATCTTGCATGGGAGTTGAGGAAGACGGAAGGGAAGGGTATCAGAAAAGTATTGGCTGATTGCAGCGACACCTAGCATTGCTTTCTGGCTGTTGTATCCATAACTTGGGGCGGCCTCGGCAATGACCCCCTCATCTTGGAACCACTGGGTGCTGGTGTCCAGTTGTAGCCATAGTAGTGTTCTTCGCGTGGTAGAAATTGGGCAGAGGACTGACCCTTGTTAACAATGGATTTCCAGCCATTGGATTTCTTTGAGTCTTTAATTTTCCTCCTTTATTTTTTTTTAACTCCGATTCAAGTCTAGGAGATCTAAAATATACTGTGTTAATTTGGGTAGACTAGAGAAACAATATTTACAGATACTCATATGTGTACAAGAAAAGAGCTTTATATAAAGAGTAATTGTATATTGAGAAAACATCCCAGCCCCATCCAGATCAAGTCCATAAGTCCGATATTAGCCCATTTGTCCGATATCAATCTGTAAACCCCTCTTGTGACTCACACAACACTTGCAATGATACCAAATGCAAGAAGATCACAGGCCAGTGGATGGAAAGTCTTGTGGATCCAGTGGCGATGGAAACATCTCAGAGCTGTCGTGAGTCTCCACGTGGCTCTTCCGGAAAACTCCAGGGCTCTAGTGTAGCTCCATGTGTCTTGTCAGCAGGAATGTCTCGCAGGGAGACGAAGGAGAGAGTGTGTGTCCCTCCTCCAAGGAGGAAATCCAGGAGTTCCCAGAATCCTCAGGAGAAGGCCATGCCCACACAGGGGCCTCATTGGCTGTGACCTGATGGATACGCTAGACTCCACCTTGTTCACAAGTTGACAGATATGTAACTGCCACACATGCCTTTCATATTTCCTTACGCCTGGTCAATAGCACATCAGAGTCTGGATAAGTTGGGGTGGGGGAATAGCTCATGCTTTGCGGACGACTTTTCACAGACATCTAAGAGCTATTATACAAAAATAAGAGACTACTTAAAGGGCAGAAATAAGAAAAGATATATGCCCTGACTCATTATAATTGATATCTACCGAAGCAGCTTTGAAAGTCACTCATGTAAGTAAAGTTGGTCATACTTGTACCAAAGTTTGGTTTGTTTCTTCATTGG